AATTATACTTCGAAGCAATATACAATTCAAAATATTATACAAAAATATAATTATACTTCGAAGCAATATACAATTCAAAATATTATACGTCATACCTTTCTGTTGCTGTTTAGCGCGCTTCGCTCCTAGTGGACGAGTTTCTTGCGACGTATCAAGAGCAAACCTGCAGCACCTCATCCGTCACGCCCACTACTGAGTGGGCGTGACGGATGAGGTCGCTGCAGGTTGTGCGGCGTCAGATGACTCGCGCATCCATTTGGGTTGATCCTTAAGGATCTCCCAGCAATGCATCAATCGAAACGAAGCCTGTTTCTTGTTCCACTTTTGAGCCTTGTAATACTCATGAGCATCTGCTAAGTACTGCTCGTTGTTGTATCCCGAACGCACGATCGACTTCGACAGCTTCAGCGCCGAGGCAAAGCACGCAACTTGCTTGTTAATGGTATCCCTCCAATGTATGTTGAGGCTTTCACCGGTTCTATTGTATTCGAATCGATTAAAGGCTCAATGTGCCGCTGTATGTCCGTGTTCAATCAATAACTGAAATACCTTTGAGTGCACTCTGAATTGCTGTTGAATGCTTCAGCTACACGACCGAAGAAGTTGCTGGCAGTTTGGTCATTGCCTACTACAGGGTCGAGGGACACCCTCAGCCATGCTTGGCAAAGCTGGATCTGCTCGTGCACTGTGAAGTTCTTCGAGCGCTCCTTCATTCCGCAACAAACCCAATCGCGAAGTGAGTTCGCTTCTCTACCGGGTGTTTGATTGGCCTATTGATTTACTGAACTCCACCAGACCAACAAAAATACACACAAATTTGTTGGGTTTTTTGTTGGTCTGGTGGAGTCCAGTAAATTTTTATTGGACTCCAATAAATTTTTATTGGGCTACTGGGCTGGTGCGAACGCGTTTTTGGGAATTTCAGCAAAGTTCAGTAAATCATCCGGTTAAGTTACTGGAATCAGGCAGTTACTGGCACCGGTGCAGATGCTCTAAGGCCAGTAAATGTCTTATCCGAACAAATTATGCGGATAATGAGGTCGATTTTACTGGTGCCGGTGCAGATGCTCTAATAGTATTACTTCGAAGTACTTACTGTAAGTACAGTACTAACGTTACTTATTAATACTCAGTACTGTTGTTCATTCGATTCGAAATTGGAGTGGGGTGCTCAATCAAATGAGCAGCCACCAAACCGGCACAGAATCGATCGACCAATCAAAACACAAGGCATGAATCAACTAGCCAATCAAATCTACTCTTCGAATAATTCATCATCGAACTATTATAGTGTGATTGAAATTCGTGTGATACTGCACGATCTTTACGTGCAAAAGTCAGTACAATGAATCGATCGATAGATTTGGCGAATCAGCACAAACGTCCAAATACTGGGTAAAAGGACAATAATATTGCAGTCCATGAATGCAATGGAGTATTGTACATTTCAGTGAACAGCTCTGTTAGAAGCCTCTCCAAGTTGGTTCAATAATATAATACTACCGCCTTTATGAGGGCGACTTTCTCATGATTCAAAACAACTCTCCTAGTCGTCGTTACCTTTGGAATAATATTTTTTTGTACTTTACTATTCCGGAGTAACGTTACTACTATTAATACTAGGTACCTGGTAAATTATTTACCGGATCGATCGTCGCTTGGGGTAGTTTGGTAACATGGGCGTTGGTGGTGGGTTGAGCTACTTGCTTGCGCTGAATACAATGAAGCGTACGCGACTGGCGCCATCATGGGAGGGGACCCGCGATGGACAAAGCCGAGTCCAGGGAGTTTGACACTTGTTTGGGGGTAAGCGAACGGTTCTGGCAGGATATCCGGACATCGAAACGCGTGATTGGATTCAGTTATGAACATGGGCTTGGACGACGTCGGAAACAAGTTTGACGACGTCATTGGCGAGTGATACTGGGACTGTCTTCCGTGCTGCAATTGCCTGTCATGATGGTAGTTGGGCTGGTACATGGAGGGAAGCACCGACGAAGGAGGAGATGGCGACCTGTAGGCAGTGTTGTGCTGATGGAAGGTCTGGAGGCCTAGAACGCGTGGTGGCGGCATGACATCCAACAGTCCAGACGACCGATGGTGGTTGCTGGAAGCAGCTAGGATGTTCAGATGGGGCAAGGTGGAGGCGATCGTCGACGAAGTCGGGGACGTGAGGCGGCCATCGCCACTCGTGGTGGCTTGGCGGCCGTGGCGCGCACAGTACCCCCCTCGCCGCGCGTGGACGTCGCAGCCGTCGACGTTGCACTTGCGTCCGCCGCCGTGCCGGACGCACTTCTTGCGCTTGTGGGCCTGCTTGGTGCATCCGTCATGGGTGCAGATCGCTTTCGAGGACTTGCCCCCATGCTTGGAACAGTATTCGCCAATGCGGGCATTCAGCTGGCACTCGTCGTACGTGCATTTCTTTTTGCCGCCGTGGCGCACACACAGGTTGCGTGCATACACTTGATTTGCACATTGGTCCACGACGCATTTCGTGCGATGTTTGTGTAGGGAGCACTTGGACGACCCAGGCACGGCGGGGTGGGTGCAGTTGGCGAAGAAACAGGTTGGGGAAGGAATCGTGAGCATGGTGAGATCGAGGCGAACAAGACGAAGGGCAGTGGTGCTGGTGGGTGGGTGGAAGGGCTTGGCTGGGTGGCAAATAGCAGACTGTCGAGACAACGATCTGACATCGGTCGCTGGTTTGTGGGTGTTTGTTGGCTGCCCTAGTACGGTACTTTGTAAATCATAGCGTAATGGTCGGGACGGAGAGATGGTGGGGTGGAAGCCATGGATACTAAAGTCAATATTACACTAGGGCTATCTACAGGCTTTGCAATCTAGATCGGAACGGCATCGAGGTTATAACGTGATTGAATGAAGCCGTTTTCCATTATCCGGATGTATCCGAAATATTCACTGAGATGCTAGAGCACTAGGTTGTCGTCGTCATGCAAGTACTTTGAAGTTGCTGTTAAGGGCAGTGTCTCATCACAGCCATGTGGAGGGGTGACGTCACCTAAATAGGTCTTCCGAGTCCTAAGGATCATTTTCATTTAGGAGGTCCACGAGTATACTGTACTGTAGTTGGAGTGTTGCCACGTACTACCACCACAGCGATATCCATCGTCCCACAGAAACTTTGGGATATGCGTAAACAGCAGAAAGGCAAGGATACAGAGCGATCAAACCCCAAGGGGCACAGCGATTGATTCGACATGCCTACAGTAGAATTGAGTGGGTCATCAGGACTTCGTGAAATTAGGTTTTGGAGGTCATGACTACAGACCATATGTATGTCGAGGGAAGGGAGCGTATGGCTGGGGACTCGATTACCCGGAAACCACTTCACTTCTTTGATGTGCGCGTGGCTGCATTAACGTTACGATTTCTATCACGGCGAAACCATTGACTCTGAGATGGATGTTTTGTATGCATTTATGCAGCGGGCCACATGGATGCTATACATATATTCACCTGCATGAATCCTACGAAAGTCATAAAGGAAAACAAGAGTTCTAAATTGGTGTACCTAACAGGCCCCTAGAGCCTGTTCCAAGTAAGGTATTTTAGCAAATGAAAAAGTGGTCCCAAGTCTTTCGAAGTGTACCTCCGTCCGAAAATGTTTGCTACAACCAGCAGAATTCGTGGATAAACTTGAAAACAGATGAAGTATAATGTTCAAAAGGTATGTATTTGTAGAGGAGAAGTCATGGATCACCAATAGAAGATCTTCGCACCAAAAAACATCCAATCAAACCAGCAATCATGCATGCAAAGCTCGATACTTTATCTAATGTAACATGGACGAATCGTATCCGGATATCCGGTTACGACATATCCGGATGATATGCACCGACAAACCCTTTCAAACTGCCTTGCGCGGGAAACGTGGCAAGAATCTGACGAACCGCAATGCCATCCTCCATCGGCTGCTAACACTTGTCATGCCGCAGTCAACACTACCTCGTGGCTCATTCACTGCTATTGCGGTTGACTTTGATGTGGCCAGAAGCACCGTGCGCTATGTGTGGCTACGTGTACCCGTGAACCTCAAGGACAAACTGTGCCCGTGTTCCGACGTCTCCTCGATGACGACGATGACCCCGACGACGTAGAAATTGACCTCGACGAGCTCTTTGGTACTTTGTAAATAAATGTCCTTTATATTGTATGTGGATGTTTGTCTTTTTACAGTTTTCAAGGTTCTGTGCACTTGTATCAAACTTTGTTCGAACTTCAATAATTGAGTTTGTAGCAAACATTTTCGGACGGAGGTAGTACTAATATTCGAGATGCGGTGTGCATTTCCGAATCCCGTTCACTGTCAACCGAACTTCGCCGGGGTTCGCCACTGAACAAGAGGTCAGTCACTGAAATTACTTGTCGTTGATTGGCTACAGTCCATTTGAATTTCTACCAGAAAGGGCGAAGTGGGTAGTAGCCAATCGGATGTCTCAGCTCGGTTTTTGATCTTTGAACGAACTCGGGAAATTCGAAAAGAATCGACATACAGTTGGATTTTACTGTTACCAGTACAGTAGGTAGACCTTTTTTTTTTTGTTATGATGAAAATAATAATATAAAAGCTTAGGGTGAGTCTGGATGTAAAAAAAAGTCCAAAATATTCGATATTTCGGCAATTTCTAAGAAATTGGTAATAAAAGAAAAAATATCTGTCTGGATCCAATATTTGGGAATTTAATAATTTGCCAAATATCTCGTTTTTCGCTAAAAATAGGTTCGAGGGACTTTTTTTCTGAAAGTTGGCAAAAAACTGAGAATCGTAGAGTTTTTTTCGAAATCCCAGACAGTCAAAAATAGGTGATAACCAAAGCTTTCGAACCAAATTTCCCAAATATTAATTGGGCAACAATTGAGGTGTGATCCCTACACTAAATCGATTTTGATTGACTAATGGTATTGTCAAGTCTGTTCGTAATTGGAGTCACCAGTAGAATCGAATAGACTGGCAAATCGATTTGAGAATGAACTAGCCAATCAAAATCCATTCTAACTCCCCCCTTTTACAAGATTTCCCGTTGCAGATTGAGTATCACTGTCAGTAGGTCTCGGCAAGGTAAGGTAAAAGTTAAACAGGGTAATTTTTCTGTACTTTTACCTTTACCCTTACCTTACCCCGAATGGTCGTGCTTATACTTTTTACCTTTTACCTTATCTTACCTTACCTTATCCCTTTACCGAGAATTGGACTGACAGTCTGTCACTCCAATTAGCAAAGCAATGTTCACCGGTGCCATAAACTCATCGGTACAGTACAACACGCGATCGTCACAATCACCGCCGAACAACAATCCCGGCCCCCCCACCAACTAGATGACCACTCTGTTGGTCATGTCTTGTCATACCGTTGGTTGGAGATGGTATAAATACTCACAGACTTGCCAAATACACCAGAAATGGCAGTGCCCTAGATGCTAGTAAGAAGTAGCGCATGCATGACGGTGCTTCTGGACGAAAGTTGATGCTGGACGTGCTGCAGGATTGCCGTCGATTGAAATTTGGGAAAGAACTGTGAGAAAGTCGGAGCGTTTTGAACAATACACCATGTTTGTATACTATAGTGAATACAAGATATATTGCCAAGTTCATTCAAAAACGGGAAGTATGCATTATGCTGTAAAATCAGTTATGATTCCCCGATATGCGGCACATGCCATTACATTTTGTTGTGTTAGTGGTTGTAGGGATTCACAAGCCGTGAATATGAACTTGCGTCTTACTTCGAAGTAATTTTCTTGTTAACGTCATTTACAGTTAATGCAAGGTAAATCAAATAATTGGTCATTCGACATTAATATGCACAATAAGTATTGTGCGAATCGCTCCTGCTTTGCGTCATTTATATTGTTGATTTGATCCAACGTTAAGTTAGTATAATATGTCGGATTTCTCGAAATAGGACTATTTTTTACCTTTTGCAATTATTAGTATCGTTATTATATAGTACTATTAATACTCTATACTAGTATACATGAACTCGATTACGTTGGAATGATCAAATAACGTTAATAATAATCTGGTTCTGAAAAGACACGAAATGCACGTGCGGAATTACCTTATACTAGTACAGTGTAGTACATTCCCTTGATTTCATACAATATCCGACCAAGGGCTGTGGTCATGAATGGCATTGCCTCCCATAGATTGATTATGCGTAGTGGTTGCAAGGATACATGCAGCAAGTGTACGACAGTACATAACTGTTTAGACCAGTGCTGTAAAGCTAACAGTGGAACGACATATTGACTTATTCGAATCGTTTAACCCAAGCCGGTCGCGTGGCAGGGTCGCCCTTCATCACCCTGTCGGTGAATTCGTCGCTCCGAGCCTTGCCTTCACTTGTGTCCGAAGAAGGTCGCAAGAGATCCATGATCTTCGATCGGTTCTTCTTTTGTCGGTCAATATCGTCCTTGTATTTGGCCTCCTACGACGCAACCATCATCCATGTTCCTCATAGGCGTATCACATCAGCAGCCACTTGCGTACCAGCATTGCCCGCTGACCATCTTCGTCCAGAGGCTTGAACACCGTGAGAGCAATCGCGGTGGGGACGGTCAGCATGATGCCCCAGTGCACCAGCATCTTGTAGATCTTCATAGGTCGACCTCGCTGTGAGGAGGTGTGGTGTCGTCGAGCAAAATGGGCTGATTGGCTGTGTTTCCAGGCATTTGATTGGTCTAAATTTCATGTAAAATACACCAATTTCAATTTTCAGTGATGTGGGCTGCCACGAACCGAACCATGCGGCGCATGTCGTCCAAAGCGCCGCTGGTGGACATAGTGCGGGTATGCATGACCCCTCTAATGATGAAGAATCGTGCTAATGAATGTGGTGATGTCGTCTTAGGTTCCTCGCACCGCTTCGTGGTCTATGGAAGACCTGCATCGCCATCCAAACCAAGCGGACGTCCTCACTGCCGAGAGCGTGCGTCGTGTGAAGCTTGTATGGATGCTGACGACCCTTTCCTCTTGTAGCTTCAAAATCTCGCCGAGTTGTGTCACTTGTACGTTCCAGAAAGCAAACTTCCCAAGCTGATGTCAGAAGTCGAAGCGATCATTCAGTGCACGCGCATCATCCAAGTCCTCCACTTCGAGCATCGGGGCATCCCTCACTTTCGTTCCTGTAGGAAGTTACGCTGGATGCGAATGTGCACGACGTGTACTCCAAGAGCGAGTTTGGTCAAGGTAACGCGATCGATGTACTGTGATTCCCTCATGCTTCCTCGGCATTAGTTGCTCCACTCCGCGACGATGTCGTCACCGAAGGCAACTACCCCGACCAAGTGCTTGCGAATGCTTCCATAAAGCATGGGTATTACTTTCAAGTCCCGAAAGTGCTGGAAGAGTAATCCCATCTCGGATGTACACCTAATTGAAACACATTTGTGCCTAATTTAAGTCGGAAGCCTGCTAGTTTAGGCATATTGATGCCTATTTGAATTCACACTTGTCGTACATTTATGCAGACATTATGCCGATCCATTGAACACGCCCTGTTCTGCCAAGTACTCTTCGACATCTACGGCCCATGAAGGTCATCAACTACCCTCCGCAAGAAGAATGAGCAATTACCTTCGACGCGGGTGTTGAGGCCTTTGAGCTTGCTCAACGTGAGCATCTGCGTCGCGAGGTTCCCGTCCTTGTAGATGAACAACGTCGGCAAGTTGCTAGGCGAGGACAAAACTCGTCAAGCAACTTCCAGAGAAACTTGGACGTACCGAAGGGGCCAGTTCTCGACACACACTTGGGACTGGATCGACACGAACTTGACGTCACGGTGACGACCGGCGATCACACGCAGGATTTGGTCCATCAATTTGCATGCTTCGACGCTGTTCTCCCACAGGTATGCGACGACCCAGCTACCCTTGCTCGCTTCCGTGACTTCACGGGTCCATTCGTCCTTGGAAATGGGCTGAATGTCGCCGAACACGTTGCGCGCCATTTGTGCCTTCATCTCGGCAATGCGCTTGTCCCTTCAATGAATATGACGTCGAGGAAGGAACGCAGATGAAGAAGTACATACCGAATGCGTTGCAGCGCTTGGTCTTCATCGTACTCGTCCTAGCGGTTCGTGTTAGCGAGTCTACGCGTACTACAATGCTTGCCTCCATTTCATCGAGCTCGTCCAGTGTCGCGTCCTCGCGGGGATCGACGTCGTCTTCGCTTTCGTAGTCTTCTTCCTCGGTCACCTTGGTCTTGGGTGCAATGATGCCCTTCTTGATCAGGATGTCTTCCCATTCCGTCGTCTCGCCCGTGCCCACATACAGCTTACTTCCGCGGTTCATCTTGTTCGTCGGCGCAATTCAAGTTTGAACTCCCAGTCGCTGTAATGTCAAATAAAAACAAGCAATTTAAATACATATCGTAATTTGTAGCCAATGCATTGTATTTGTAATTAAATACGCATGTTTTTATCCGGATATATGTTCGGATAACTGACTCCAACTTAATTTCCATATATTTTGGGTATTTATCCAAATCAAGTCAACACGGATTGGCTTAAATATAGCCAATCAATGGCGTTCAAATTTTTCCCATGCGAAATACATCAGATCCGAACATGGGAGGCAAGAAGCAGTCGGCGTCGGCGGCGCCACGGCGTAAGAAGTTCCGGTTTGAGTACATGGCATTCCTAGTGGGCGTCGTTGTGGTGTTTCGTTGGTGGACATCAACACAGTTGACCCCCACTCGCAAGATTGGCCACATCCAGCCTGCAATCCTGTACACGCTGCAGAGCGACCCGAACGTGCATGTGCTAGGATCGTATCCTCACGACAAGGCCGCGTTCACCCAAGGCCTGCTTGTGGAGTCTCCGGGAATTCTGATTGAGTCCACGGGTCTATATCATCGATCGTCCGTACGTCGATTCAACGTCACCACGGGCGTCGCGAGCCACCACACGGCCCCGTTCATGTCGACCGAATTCGGCGAAGGGATTACATGGAACGCCGCAACCGACTCGTACGTTGTGCTCACGTGGAAGGCGATGACAGGGTATGTCCTTCACAAGGACGATTTCCGTGTTCTGTCGACGTTTGCGCTGCCGCCGACGACGCGAGACCAAGGGTGGGGCATCACGACGATCACGGACACACAGGAGCTCGTCGTGAGCGATGGATCGCATGTGCTGCATGTGTGGGACCCCGTCACGCTCACCGAGACGCGGCGGGTGTCGGTGCTCTCTGCCGCGGGCCAACCAGTCCGTTCCATTGATATATCTTGTTGATGAAATGTACTTAAAGAAATGTGATGGTAGGTGGCAAATCTCAACGAGCTAGAGTACGCTCGGGGCTACATCTTTGCCAACATTTGGTACTCGAACCTGGTGGCCCAGATCGATCCGATCACGGGCGCCGTCGTGAACATGCACGACCTGTCGTCGCTCAGCGCGCAGAAGAACGCCGACGGCGACGTGCTCAATGGCATTGCATACGACTGGAAAAGTGATTTGTTTTACGTCACAGGAAAGCTATGGGATACCATGTACCTCGTACGGATTGACGATAAGCCACCGTCGACATAAACCACATGTCATATTGTGCTACTGTATTTGGTATTTTTGGTAGATTCGACGATGTGAAATTCCTCGAGTCGTCGTTTTACTTCAACTATTTCCTAATGAAATCACATTTATATGGGGTTTTGTATGGTAGAACCAGAATTCCTAGGCGAAAAAAGTCTTTGAATATAATTCCTTGAAATATAATAACCCATGTGTTATGTATCGAAAAATGACCAAGTTTTACTCCAACCGTCGAAATATTATACCTATCTGGTGGTCATTGAGTATTCAATTATACAAGTTTTGGTGATAAGATTATTTCAAGATTAAAATAACTTGTTGTTTGTATCAATATATAATCTGTAATACCCGTTAAAGTCGATATGATTTCACCGAAATCACTCGATGCTGTCGCGCACTGTAAATACTAGTATACTCACTGTGAATTCTGTCAGTTACCAGTACAGTACAATGTTGAACGAACTCGTTGTGAAATGGAGAAGCTTGGCAATGCACCGAATACACCTGCAATTTGATAGGTGAATGTTTTTTTTTCCGAACATTTCATTGGCTACTTCGGTCCGTCGATTACTGCGTCGATTCGATTCGATTGGTAGCCCCAGTCCATTTTTATATCGACTGTTATCGGCGGGGCCTCTGTTCGAGTCCCCGTGCCTGAGTGTGGGTTGCAGAATGTTGGTCACACACGATATTTGAAGAGTGTGACATATGACCTGGATGGAACTGACTGATTGGCTGGATAATGAAGTTACTTTTGGATTTGTCATCAAGGTCACCGTTGTGAACACGGTAGCCGTCGGTTGTGAACACCGGCGCAAGACAACAATAACCAATATGACTGCTCTAGTGAGAACGAAATTCAAGCGAAGTTTGGAGTGAGCAGAACCAAATGGACAGACAATTGACCGACCAATCAAAAACCAGAACGGTTTCAAGTGGCCAATCAAACTCCTGACACCATTGAATTAGTGTGCGATCACATATTTTACATACAATATTCAGTACAAAAAATCGACAGAGAATCAGAGCAAATATCCAAATTTGGCTGAAAGCACAGTACTTTGTACAGATTGAGACTGCAACATAAAACGTTGATTGTTAGAAGAATGGTGAGTTGATCAACTCAACATTTCTTCCTCTGGCGGTTGGTTGAATGAACCCCCGATAGTCACTGGCCCTGCGATTATAATTTTGAACAAATTTTAAGAGGTATCGTTGTATTACAAGACAAATTCATTCGTTTTACACTTAGCCAATCACACTGCTTTGCTCGATTTTACCACCATCCCCATAAAGTTAGCAAATTTGGGTGAAAGGCACAATACGAGAAAATGCTGGTCTGCGAACGTTTTGTTTCCGCTTTTGGCCATTCAAGCTTTGTCCGGATTATCATTAATCAGCTTCGAAGTACATTCTTGGTCGAGGAAGGCATTCACGCTTTGAAACAACCATGGACACTCTCAAGCAAGTTGCTGTTGCTGTCGCGACGGTGGTGTGTCTTGCCAGTCGCCCCCGTCACAGCTGGTGGAAAGTACAACGTGCTGACAATAACTGAAGTCAACTTTGACATAATGTTGGGGGACCCTCACTACGAGGAATGGTTTCGCGACAATCGATGCAACCAGACCACCTTTGGACACCTAGTTGTGTGGCTGCGTATCAATTTCAAATTCGTTAGCCTATTTATACGAGTAAAAGATGGAGGAAAGGATCCCACTGTGATCTAAATGTAAACCAATAATTTTGCAAAGCTAAATTTATATCCGTACTATAAAAAGTTACTTAACAGTATTACGGTTCAATGCTCAGGAGTATACTTGCATGACAGTCCAGGGCAGTTTCAGAAACGAAACTGAATGAATTCGGAAAAACGTAGGATTGAATTTATCTTATCAACGCACAAATCTTATCGACTCACTATTTTCACACAAATCTTATCAACGTATTAACCAGACTATGACAAACAACATTACTGGAGTAATACATTGGAAAATTTGCTTCGACCAGGAGTGTAGCGATGAACTACCAGCAAGACGTATCAGCTGACAATGCCCCTTGCATGGCGGACAAGGGCTGTCAAGTATGAAGGCCCCAACTGGTATTTCCTTTGGCCATCCATCTGCAGTGCCTGTCAAGACCTTGCAAGAGACCATGCAACGTTATGCTCTGCCCAAGCTATCTCAAGGGACCTCGAAGCGATCAAGAAAGACGTCGCAATGCATTTTTACATCACGGGCACCTCGTTCCATCGTGTTAGCCAGTTTCACCTGAAGCGGGCCATCCAACGGGCAAGGCCGGACATTGTGCTTCCAAACCGTTTGGCCAACAAGTACCATGAAGTCAACCAAGCAACAGATCGTCGACTGGGCGCGCCGGATACCCAGGTGTCAACATGGAGCCAGTAGTTAACTACATGGCAGCAAATTCAACTATGTCGGTCGTTTTGGACAGCAAGTACACTGAAGCTCAAGCGCACACGGCGGAGTGGAACATCCAAAAGCTCAAGCGCACACGGCGGAGTGGAACGCCCAAAAGCTCAAGCACACAAAAACCTTGAAGACACTATGGCAGCCTTACCAGCAAATGTATGTGGCGCGTGTACAGACAATACACAGCTGCAAACAAGGGCGTTTGGAAAGTCCTTGAAGCGAAGTTCCCAACCAAGTTCTTCCACGGGTATGTGTGCCACGCTTTAAATCTGTTAGTTAATGAATGACATATTTGGTGCTCGAAGGACCAAGTGGGGGGGAATGACGTGCCACGTTACCCGAATGGATATCCATTCGAGCACCTTGTCAACTTCGTGGACAGCTGTAAAGACGTAGTTCGGATCATCCGCAACAATGGGCGGTTGAAGTCGGCGCTGTCAAGTCTCCAAAAGGCCAACCATCTCGGTCGCCTAGTGATGCCTGCACCGACCCGGTGGTGCACACTGCAGCCGTGCTTAGTTTCGCTCCACGAGTCAGAGTCATTGCTCCATGACTTGGTCAGTGCCCGGGATTTCATTACCGGCTCCGGGGATCAACGGCTGCGGCGGATGGTTCTCAACGAGACAGTAACGGCTGTTGACGTTGTTTCAAAGCTGGAGCACTGCATTTCTATCTTGTCACCCATCGACAAATGGATCAAGATCTTTCAAAGTGACCGCGTACCGGTGTCAGAAGTGTTTGATGCATTTGTCCACCAGCTGCCACACGCAATCGTTAACATCTGGAGTCTGAACCTCCATGAGACGAAATACATTGTGGTCGCCATCAAGGCTCGCTGGCAGTTTATGTACGGCGATGCGCACGGGGTGGGCTACCTGCTAGACCCGCGGTTTGTGGACAGCGGCTTTGACAGCATGGAATTCAAGGAAGGTGTAGTTGATTTCGTAGTTAACTGTCTACCATCAGTCACCGCGCCCTCGACGAACATCCGTAGAGACTCTTTGTCGCATGATCTGAAGGAGTTTCCAAAGTACTGCCTTAAGCTGCATAGTGCTAAAGGTTGGAGACTAGAAGAGCTGAAGTCGAAGAAGAAGATCTTCGCCGAGTTTTGGATGCTTGATGGCCAAGCGTGGCCACTCCTACGCGAACTAGCACTTCGCGTTTTCAACCTTGAGGCATCCAGTGCTGCTTCCGAACGTAACTTCTCCATGGTTCATCCAGTCCAAGAAGCGAAATAGACTAAGCCTCAGTGCCATGACAAAACTGATGTACATCAAGACGAACTACAATCTGGACGACGAAGTTGGCGGCAAAGAGTACTCATCGGACAAGTATACAAACTCTGAGTAAGAGTTTAATCTTGAAATAAGAACTATATAAATTGGTTTTTATATATAAACTGTTAAACCTAATATCCATTTTTCCAAAAAGTGGTTTTTAACAACGACTATAGTATGGTGCAAACCATGGTGGGGTCTTTTTGTCGGTGGAAAGTATCCGTCCATGCGTCGACGGTTACCTACTGGTTGTTATCTCCTTGGTGACTCTGGGTACACACTACTACCGTGGTTACTGACACCGTATGTGCTATATGAAGAAGGTGGTATGTTGACCAGGACCCAGAGGCAGTTCAATTATCGGTTGTCGAGCACCCGCATGGTTGTGGAGTGTGCTTTCTGCCGCTTAAAAGAGCGGTTCCAGATTTAGAAGACCGTGATGAATGAAAAGTCCCTGGACCACACCGTTATCATTGTCTACCTGTTGCTTTTCGTGTTGCACAACATGTTTATATATTTCAACGATGGTTTCTTTTCTACACCCGTGTCGCCGTCGTGACTGAAATACATATTTCTAACCTGCCGACAAAAGTGAAACCGAAACGAATCAATTTATTCGTCGATCGGCAGTTGCCAAGCGAAACAGAATTGCCAACATTAGATTGAATTGAATATAACTACAATTACTTGTCAATGAATCAATTTTCTTTTTGGGCAACTAAATGCGCGAGGACTCCAGTTGTTGGCACATGATTGGCAGTGGGTGTAGCAGCTAGAGATGTCCCCAAGTAAAGCCAAGAAGCCGCCCTCCAAGGCCTCACTATGGCTCGTGGGTTTAAGTCTTTGTCGACCAAGTGGCCAAACTCGAGATTTTGCTCCCTCCTAATTGCCCTCCCTCCTTGAACTTTTTTATCTTGGTTTCATTATACGTATCCGTATAATACCATGTGGTATCCAACGAAGTGTTCTTATTGGCTGTCAGGCTTGGTCGTGTATTTTTGATCTGCTGGAAGCCAATGATATTATATAAAAATACTTCGAAGTACAATAAAAATACTGGTTGGTGTCGTCGTCGTCGAGCTCCATACCCGTATACTGTAGACCTTCTATTCAAACGTACTTGCATTATAGCCGAGGGGTCTAAGTACGTAACTGAACCTCCTGCGTGAGTTCGATCCTCACCACGACCAAATGCCGGTCGTGGTGAGGATCAAAATAAATAGACTGCTGCCGAAATGCAACTTCAAGAAATTGAAGAGTGGGGACACAAGACACACCATGAGCAGCAGTTTTCGAGACAACGGCGAGGCAAGAGCTATGGGGAGGGAAGACCTAATCGGGTACCACCTCAAGAACTGTCTGTACGTTGACCCGAACGAGAGCGATGAGGACGCCGACAGCCACGTCGGCTCCTTCCACCACGACTGAGGCGGCAGCATCCCTCCGAGAAAGATGTCCCGCTCCATGTCCTCGCCCAACATTGTCCCAAAGTCGGCGGTTCCCCCGACGATAGCTACCCCATACCCCCGCTAAAGCTGGACGATCACAGCATTACTGAATCATCATCTGCTACTTCCACGACCTTGGGCACGTTGAAGACGTTGCCCACTAGCCCCATGAACACCCTTCCCGATGCAATCATGGCGGCATTTGGTTCTAGTGTCGGCCCTCGCGGAGGATTGTCTTAAAAATGATAATCCAAACTCAATAAACCTCACCACGACCACATTTTTTACCACTTTTGATTTGCAGCCAACTTGAAACTGTCCACGCGACTCGAAGAGTTCTTGCGTTGATGTGTACTTCACAACCAAGACAAGGTCTACCTTCCTCTATACACACAAATGTTCCTCAATAAGGTATATTGATCGGGGCTCGACCAAGCAAGTCATTTCCCACACATTTTGAGCATGCACGTTGATACTCGTAGATTGCAGCAAGCTTATGAGGAGCATTAAGTATATCAAAACACTAAACGATGAGTACTCTCAAGCAGCAATAGCATACTATAATACAATGCCATGGCCCTGCTGGTGGTTATGAGTTTCGGGGATCATACATCCTCAACATGACTGCTTACTAGTATATCTATTCATCATGGAGGAGTGTGCATTGTGTTTGCATCAACACCTAAGCTCTATCCGAGATGAAAACAACATTCAACTTGTCGATTATAATGTGATTCGTCTTGTATACTCCTCCTAGATACCGAATGAGGGCGCATGTATTCAAGAAGAGTGTATTAAACCCACATGAACACTAGTCTTGACACCATTTGACCCCCCAATATATGACTTCACTCAGTTCCTCGTATGGCCTATTCATGAAAGTTCACTTGACACGCGATACAACCTTCTGAGGATTCTGCAGCGACTGGAATTGTGTAGAAATCATCAATGCGATCTACACCCCCTACATTGCTCTTCGCAGGTCGCATTGGCGCCCGTTCTAACGCAATACAAATTCGAATCCCCCATTACTTACATACATATCCTATGATTGAGGGTATATACGAATGTTGACTACGATACTCTTCTTTCAAATGCTTGAGACTACAACGCAACACTCTATCATAAGCAGTGAATCATTCCATCACTGTGTATGTAACTGAAACACTCTACCATCGGCATTATGTCGTCCCCTCGCTGAGGATATGGCTAACAACTGGACCTCCCCTCACTGTTTCCTTCAACATCACACTATCCTTAGTTATGTACTATCTTCAGTTATGTACTACCCTTATTCTAGATGTGACTATAACACAACGCTATGTCACCCGCAATGTTCTCCCCTCACTATGGACGTGGCAAAAGCATAGCAATAGGCTATCCCCTCACAGTGAATGACACCCCCTCACTGTAGATATGCCTACAATACCACCCACTATCTTCTGTTATGTACTGTCCCCTGATTCTAGATGACTATAACACAACGTTGTATCATCAGTAATATCCCCCCCCCCACTGTGGACAAGGCGAAAACAGATCAATATGCTATACTCTCATAGTAAATGACATCCTCTAACTGTGCCTGCAACACGACACAATCTGCAGTTATGAACTATTCTCTCAATATAGATGTGACTATAACACAACGCTTTGTCATCAGTAAAATGCTATCTCCTCACTGTGGACGTGGCAACAACACAGCAATATGTTATCCCCTCACAGTAAATTTGACATCCCCCACTGTGGATATGTCTACAACACTATCTTTATGTACAACCCCCTCACTATTAGATGTGAGTATGACATAATGTTCAGTAATGTGCCTTACCCTCACTGTGATGTGACTGTAACACTGCAGCGTACTATCCTCTCACTGTGAATACGACTAAAACACAACGCTCTATCGTCAGCAAGTACGCCATCCTCTCACCAACAATGCCCTTTGTACGCGCCTTATGCTGTTTAATTGCATGATGATGGAAACCCTCACACGTCGTTATTGCTACATCTTTGGTAGTGAGGTAGTGGTATACTAGTACTTCGTATTTGCAATTATGATTCGCCTTCGTGTGTATATCGTGGTCGGGTGAGTCCAGCAGGTTCTTTTGCAGCAAAGCACTCGATGAAATACTAGGGAGATGAGGGAAATACGGAATTCTACTGTTGTATGAATGTGTGAGCTATTAAACAAACCAAATCAAAGACATTACTAGTAATGCATTATGTTAAATGCTGTAAAGCGGCTCTCCATTTTCCAATGAGATTTGGGTCAAATTTGCGACAGCATGGAAACAACGGGGATGAAGGTGTATGGCATGCCTGAACACACCACCCAATATCTTGAACTGCTTCAACCGTTTGATCACCGTTTCGTGTCGACACATGATATCTTTGTGCTGTTGAGGGTTCGCCATTGCAGCGTGACTGAAATAGAAGTAGTTGGCATCACGGTAACCCTTGTCAGCATATGTGATCTCGCCTTGGCGCACACAATGAACATACGAATCACGTGCAAGCCGTAAATCTGGCCATTCGCCGCATGGTACGCCTCTATTGACCCAGACAATGTTGCCAGTTCGCATGCACACACCGACTTCATAGCGTAGCCCAGCTCCATGAAATTTGTGGGAATACCACTTGCGGTCGTACGGTACTGGTTCCCAGATACGAAAGTCAGTACCATCCAATGAAACGAATGCTCGATCATGGGGACGACTGAGTTCAAACCGTCGATCCCACACAATCTATTACATAATTAGTTGTGTTACGTTGTACGCAAGTACCACACGTAAGTTGGCTAGTAGATCGACCCATAGCCAAACCCATTTGCGAAATGTCTTCTCATCGGCACGTGATAAGCAACGATGGACGCTTTCGGATGCGTAGACCTTCAAAAACATCAAGCACCAGAGAAGGTGCTTCGGACGCGATGTTGAAGGCCGAGTAGCATCCGTCAACGACCATGCTTCGCTTGTTGACCCGGGCGAGATGCCAAAGACAGCACGACACCGACGAAGGGCCGTCAGGGTCATGGATGAGGCTTGATCCAGCATTGCACAGCCCAGAACCCAGAACGTAGACGCCATTGTGTCAACCATTATGGCAATTGAATTATGTGACGAAAATCGCGCGCGCAGTATATGGGCCTTATCCGGATTATGTTTTTGGTGCTAGTACAGTATGTACTTGCCATGAATCATATTTGTGCTTCCTTGCAATACAAGCTTCAAGTGTATACGACCTACTAGTATATACTAAATGCTCCAAAATTTGAAGTCAAATTGTGGATCTTGCCTGAATCTCCTGAATCTGTTTGGAACTACGGCAAAATATTGCAAGTTAAGGCCAACTGGATGGTGCTCTTTGACTATAGGATTACTCATAGTGACTATATCTTGCGCAATTGAAGGGTCATCAAAACCCCGTGATGTATACGACCAACATGCCCTCTTTCGGGAGTACAACGTCGACACGTTCCGAGCACACATGAGAAAGTCCATGTCACGCCATGGCGCTATTTGTAAGACGCATACGCATATATGAGCTATACAATTGATATTTTCTCAATAATTCTAACTCTCCATTACTATAGTACAACGACCACCGATTTTCAATGGATCAACTCATATCCCACCTTGTGACTACGACGAATTAACTGAAATCGCACGAACAAATACCTTGGACGAGGAAACTCACTGTCAGTTTTCGAACTATCCCTGCATGACGGTTCAGTATCGTCGCTACCCCTCACGGCAGGTTTACGTCCGTGTTCTCCTCGCGGAGCCTCGCAACACCAATCACATTGAAATCGATGTTGGTGACGACAAACGCTCATTTGAGATGTCGTTTTCGTGGCCGACAGATTTGTAGGATGTCGACGCGGCGTACGGTGACGTCATGGCGGCTCACGCGGCAACATATGATTTGTTGCCGATGATCAATGCTACGCGCCTTGCTGTCGAATCACTACGCGCAACCGATCGACAACCGCCACGAACGAAGTTGAGCATACCCTTACCGTTTGAAGTTTATCCTGACACGCTTTGTGTACATTCACTCAATCCGCCATGATTTTGGAGGCGAAAGTTGCTAACCACGAGATGCCCAAGAAGAAAACGATCTGGAGGCTTTAGGTTGTGAATAGAATTGATTTTTGCATCCTTATTTATCACTTCATTTTTATCAATATTTATAAACTTGTGCCTATTCATTTCACCTCACTTATATGACGAAACTCGATTTCGACGTGAAAGCGCTTACACATTAAATCGAAGTATTCAGTATTTTCCTCAACTCCTAGTGCAGCATAATAAGGAATGTCATGGTTTGCCTGAATTTACTTCTATACAGCTCTACCTTCCTCTACTAGCTCGCTCGCCGTTGATGAGCCGACCAATACCGAGATTAGCCAGCGATGTACTTCGATTTCCAGTGCACACCTTTGAAATATTGGTAGCAAAAAAATGACTTAGTGAGGTTCGAACTCACGCGTAATCTAACACTTGTCCTACGACGGGTACCTTGACCGCTCAGCTAAATACCAAGTACTACGTAGTACTTCGAAGTATATGTCAAGACGATGCTCAAATGATATCATGGCGAACTTTTGAAATGGGTGCGGGTGTATTTTTATTGAAAAACTCGGCCAATCAAATCGAATGAGTTCAGTAATATCCTCACAACCCGCTTTCCCGTGGAGCGAGGATATTTTGGCTTGACTTGATTAAAGTAACGCCACTCTGTATCCGGACGGGCTGAGTGAGGAGTATCCTCACTATTGTCGACAAAGACTTTAACACTTTCGATTGCTTCTTTCGACGTTCGTACGACGTTTCATCATCGCTCTCAGCCTTCACAGTCAAATCGTGCTCATCTTTGACATCCATGTCTAATATAGTAACGTAAAAGCCCGATTTAAGAACACTTTTTCGGAACCGCTAGTTTGAATGGCATGTTAGTCAACTCATTGGCATCGGATTGAAATTCTACGATATGCGACATGATGCCAAGTCTCAGTTGTCTCATTGGGCAATCAAACAATCGTGTTTCAAGATATACTTGACCATCATAAATACCATTTTCTAAGCAAGTATCGTCTAAAAGTGCCATCCAATTTAAGGTGCACACAATCACCTAGATATTTGTATACTCCGTTGCATATTTTTTGATGTGTTAGGTTATGTGTTTTCAACAGTTAAATACTTATACACAACAGGTAATGCATTTATACAATTTACGTGCACTTTTCCATTTCTAGATTCGCAATCTGCAACAGAAGCTACCACACAGCATGGGGTACAGCACAATAACTCAAGGACACATCAAATGAATATCATAACGTTAGTTGAATTACACTAACGTTACGGCTTCAACCACATCTTCATGGTTAACTTTGGCTTGCCCATTAGACAATGGTCTGTAAACCAATCTTCGCAGCGATGCGGGCCTACTTCGTGGTGGCGGCAGACAACTCCAGCGCCGCCCCACGCTTCTTCTTCCGTTTGGCCACCAGCGCGTCCTTCAGGCCTTTCGCTTCTCGGCATTGCTGCTTGCTCTTGTCCAATTCACACAAGAACGCCAAGGTAAAAATTCGCCCACCCACATCGATGGTCTTCCTTGATTTCTTCTTTTGGCTTGAGAGGACACATTCAAGATTTCAGTGACTAGCATTTAACGAAACATTGACCTATATATAAAAAGTATATATGTATTGTACCGCCATTGACCATTTCCTCGAAAATTGCTTTACGAAAAACAGTCTTATATGGTCCAAAGACAGCCACATCCAAACACATGCGTCACACTGGATGGCAAACAAAGCAACAACATTTGAAGTGAATCACATAACTCAAGCAACTCAAGCATAATCGACGAATAGTGCGAAGCAAGTCCATCAAAAGTTAGTCATACTGGATGAGGAATGGACACATCCAAACAACGTACTTGTGAAATGTAATTAACCACGCAGGAAAAATGACTTCATTCGTAAAACCTTTTGGTGAAGTTGATATAGTAGCATTCGGTACACAATTTTCGGAATTCAATTCCGTTTGGACAGTATCACCAGCATATAGAAACAATGGAGGAAACGCATAACCAGACACATTCACACATGCAACAATAAGCAAATGAAAGTTTGGTGACTGTCTTGGCCCAAACGTTCTGAGATCCTGCAATGATGGAACTTGACTTCTTCCTTAACATGAATGTCGTTTCGTCCATGTTGAATATACCGTCCGGGGTAAGTCCATGCTCTTGGACCGTCGTTGACACCGATTCGAAAAATCGTATGACTGCATCCAGGTCGACGCTGTTTCGAGCGTGGGAGATCACTTGGGCGCACCTGTTGTCAGCTGAGAATGGCGCCCACGGAAACGTTTATACCACCCTGGAGACAACGACAGGAGCGGGCGGGTCGATTTTGCGTGCCAATCGGTTGGCCTTGACGAGGATGGCGTGACGTTGAAGCGGTTGCCCGTCGCACTGCATGGCTCGGATCCAAGCAACTAGGTCTACTTCACAGCCGGTTGGCAAGGTTGTTTTAGGCCACGGCGCTTGGTCATCGTGGCAGTTACAGCCTTCGTCGCTCACGCAGCCTTCTTGAGCGTGTTGTATGGTATCTTGGTGTAGGCTGATACAGATTTTCCATTTCGCCCAGCAAGCAATTTTTGCACTGCATTCGGTGAAGTGCACGAATGCGGCTCAAACACCGTCTGCGCAACATTATACACACGACCTTCGCTACGCTGCGGTGCGGTGCGCGCGATTTGGTGGGCGGATGCTCTGTCATCGCTCGCTACTGTAACGCTAGGTGAATTCCCTTGTGTTTTCATACACGTCTGTGTCTCCCAGATTTCTACCTGTGATTCCCTTATTCATGTGTGCATGATCATTTGACTCCGAAGTGCCACGTGGGACTTGTAACATAGATGGCACAACGCTACAACGCCGTTGGCGTCCCATAGAAGGGTCCGTTGTGGTGTTGTGGTGGGGGTCCGCCGTGAACGCTTGTTGTTCGTTGGCTGGGGTGTTTGCGGTTCTACATGATGAAAGTGAGAGTACGTTAACGGTCAAGCTATGTCTACCATTGACTGGGAGGTCGGTTTCATGAGTAGTATTCGTTCATGCTGCTCAAACTGACACTAAAGCGGGAATGACTGGTACCAGGTGGATACGTCGAATAACCGCCTGGAACCATGAAATGAAGCGGGATAATTATGCTGCGGATAAAACTGACCAATCAAACTAATTTAGTCGAAGTATGAATTGCCAGAAGCTGGAACGAAACGTTCACAGACCAGGTTCTTAAATATTAAGGGGCTGGTCGAGGATCTACCGAAGTGGAGGGCTAAGTTACTTGAAATAATGCCTCAGGCCCTTTTCGGACGCACCAAATATCCTGATTCTGGAAACTAACGATGATAATGATCAATATTCCGACCTCACTTAATGTTTGTATGCACTAATTTTGGCCAATGAATCGTCTCTATTGTCTATTTCTACCTATCACAATGAAAATGACCAATGAATCGTCGCTACTATCTACTGTTACTTGGTGGTTCACGAAACAAATACGAAACATTACATACTAGTAGTCTAGTAGGAGACTACTACTAGTATTACTTGTACAATACTTGCATCACAGTTTTCAATTTCAAGTCCAGCCGAAGCCATCGTACAAGGTGCATTTATCGCCCAAGCAACGTCAACGGTAAGAAGCAACGACACATCACGGACCATGAACTCAACGACTGACGCTACGTGTATGCGCACACAACACAAGCAAAGGGGTCCATCACAGTGTCGAATTGCGACCATGACTTGGCGTTCAAGGATGGCACGACGCAGGTACAGAATGAACATGAATATCATCGATTACTGCTTACTCATGATATCATAAACTGTGTGATAGCTCATCTCGGTGGTTCGACGATTTCCAATGGCAGTGGCAGCGGCCCCGCCAAACAACTGCGCGCCACAGCGACGAGAAGCAGACGTCGAATCATACACTTTGCCGTTTGGACATGTGTACTTTTCGTTGAGTGTTGGTGGAAGCAGCCAATTCGTCGATATAGTTTCAGCATTACTGGCGGTTGGCGGCAGCGGCTGAGATATTCCTTCAGATAAAGTAGTATCTGGGGAATTCTGTCGCGCCATGTTTTGTAATAACTACTCCCCAAATTGGAAAAGTGTACCGTTGAGTTGCTCCATTGTCACTGATGCTGTGTTATGGTTGGTAGAGTCCAAGACATCGCGAAGTTGGAGAGGGATAGATTTAAACCCGTCGTCAACATGTTGAGCCAACTTCCCTAAGTTGGTTTGGACAACTTGCAATTGCTGGTACAACAGGACGTGTGGTAGGTTGCCCGTCGCCGTCATGTTGGTGATGGGATTGTACAAGGTGCCACCGTGAAGGCCAGCTGCAAGAGCTGGCAGCGACCCGGACAACCACACAGGGGACTGAAACAAGGGGTGGCTGTGGTGGAGAGTACTCTTCAACCATGCGTGGTGGTGGACCAACGACGCCAGCAGATATGGGACGGCCGAACGAAACGTAGCCGGATAAAACGATGAATATCCCGGCAAGATTGACTCCCACTGTGCTGGACTGAGCGAGATCAATGGCCCAAAATGTGGTGGAAGCGCTCCAAACTCGACATCGTTGACATTGAGTCCTAATATATTTATTATAATTCAAAAATGAAAACGAAAAATATATATTCAAGAGAAATACCAGTTGCAGCTCTGCCAACAAATTGATCACCTCCAGATCCTTCAAATATGTATCGTCCTTGGACCCCACCGAGGCTCCAACCAGCTCGCAGCTAGACCATAACTGCTTGTGGGCCACCAGGACAGTGCACTTGCGACACCTTTACGAAACGAATGCGTACCAATGTCCGAGATGGACAGTCCGAGGCCAGCAATATCGTCGGCATTTGCTGCGCATGTCTTCGCGAGCCAAGCCGAAAACCGCTCCTTTGCATTGTAGCCAAACAGAAGCGTCGGGGACTCAGGCACTTGCACTCCGCGAGTAAACAACAAGACACCCAAACTAGATGACAAACATTTCAACAAATATTAGATATATATCATACCAACCTTAAAATGGGACAAATAGCAGGATGCGACAGATTCGCATATAAATGTCTGGGGTATGACATGCGCCCTTCTTGGTCGTTCTTCGTAAGACCAAAGCTGATTTGGAGGGCGTCATCTAATAACCAAATCAATAATGTATTGAAGAGTATAGTGTAACCTTTACATGTGATGTGTTCGTATCTTATTGACGACGTTGACACAGCCCGCGCCATCAAGTTCCAACACAGCAGCAGAAATGAATGCGCCGTGACGTACAAGGAGTAATCGCACTCCATCGCAACAGCCACAGACGCCAAATAGGAGAAACCTGTAATGTATATAAATATATATTCAAATATGTATAAAATAGCAACATTTATAGAATACCTCCAAATGACAGCGGTGATTTCCCTCAGTTATTGGTGCCCCCCCCCACTCTCTTTCAGCTGCGCGAACTTCCGTCTGTAGCCGCTGACATACTCTAATTTCGTATATTAGTGAATATAATGAATATATTTCTACCTTTCATCATAGCTTTCAATTCAGTGGAGACTGCAACCTCGGCCTCTCGGTGCAGGAACACGACTGCGCTTTTGACACGGTTAATCGTGGAAACCGAGTTGTACTTCGGGGGTAAAAGCTCCATTCCATTCAAACTTCGTTTAACTGATGCATACGAAAACATCAACTTGCACAGGGCTGGTGTTACAGGGACGACTACGCCTTGTGCTGTGACGAACTGTGGATGCTCGACATGCAGCCATCGGACCATGCGTGCGAGAATCGACTCGTACTGCGACCTGGTGTATTCACAACCCGGAGGGCGATTACATCGTCCGCCGTCTCTATAGCATTGTTGGAGGTTGGTTGGCGTTGGCCACGGCCCATGGTTGACGTACGTTCGTTTCGACTCTGAATCCTTCCATGGTTGTTTAGTATGCTTTAGTATTACTATGCCCTTAACTAGTACTATTGTTTCGTGAAAGTTTCGTAAAACGATGGTATTTTTCTATACTTGAAGCTGCATACAAAATCCAGCATAAAGGAAAACCTATACTTCCGTTTTACGAAACAAAACTGTTTCGTGACACCATTGAAATTGTTTCGTATTTGTTTCGTAAACCGTGTATATCTACATCTACCTATCATAGTGTATATTAATACTAGTACGTATAACGTTAGTAGTAACTCATCCTATACCATTTTGACCAATCAAATAACTTCGGGGCAGGGCTAGTGCAATTTTGTCGGTTCTTAGTATGGGCCAATGACGAGGAGCAAAAATATATTTAGACCAATGATATTGTCCAGGTGCTCGCCAATAGATTTGCAGACATCCCTGATAACTTGTGAATATATTACATTTAGTGGATTCCGACAAGAGTGTAAAATCTCTAATTGTGCTCGAGGCACCTTTTTAACTGACCCCCGTTTCAAAAATATAATTGATCAGAATCTGGTTTCATAAACCTAGATTATCAGAATCCGGATTCACATACCTACCGGTGCCGTCTTGCGTAATACGAGTCGGACAGCCAATTCAAGTCGGACTCCTGCATAAGTTGATTGAAGCTATCAGAGGTTTACTAGAAGTTTACCTTCACAATAGAGTACACCTGCCATATATCAATATTGTATTGAGTTTTTACTATGTCACGATATCCTGTACAAGCGTACCTCGAGATTTTGCCGCCGTACATTGAAGGCCCCACGGTCATAGTCGCCGACAACTTCGACGCCCACGTTACGCAAGAATCCGCCAATGTCATCGCTGGTGATCTGCACAGCGTGCTCGAGCCACTCCCTCAGCCCTTGGATGTAGGGGTTATGGGTCCGTTCAAGAAGTTGTTGCGGACACTGTGGCTCGATGAAGCGCCTGTCACTTCAGCTGCAGACAAGCGACGTGCTATGATTTTGCGTTCAATCAAGGCCTATTTCTAGCCACGCAATCCAGAAATCATTTCAAAAAGCAATTCCGCGTCCCCACATTGTAGTTGTGTAAATAATAGATACTGTGTTGTGATCTTAATTATGTGCTCGGTAAGAGTGTTCTCTGGATAACCCCCCGTCGTGAATCCAATAGAATTCTGTAGTAGGTGATTAAAAATAATAATGTTGAATATTTTTGTCATGTTGTACATCACTTGACAAAATATATCCCTCGGTGGGATTTGAACCCGGGGCACCTGCATTGCAGACTGTGTACTTAGTGCATTTAGCTGCAGGATACATGAAAAGGGGGGGTGACATCCTTATATTTCTTTCAGTGTTAGTACAACTTTCAGAACCAATTTTTGTGCGATCTGAAGCACCCTCAGATGGTACAACTCCAATTAACAGTTTCACTGTTCCCTTTCTCTGAAAGCAGTGCAATTCGGGTGTTTTTATGGGACTACTGTTAGTATACCGTACTCTGACCTCCTCACCTATAACTAGGGGATTTAGCATTATATGTACTCACCGGGGGTAGGTCGTATTGTGGCTTCTGACCATAGGCGCATTACTAAAGGCGCATCGGGACGAGACGTTACGACCGCACGACACTCAACGGCCAAACAAGTCCCATCATCATAAAGTACACTGTAGATACATTGCATACAGGACTGCATATTAGGTTACCCAGCTGCGGCTATCGAACCACTGGCTGCCAGACTCCTAGCTAGCTTAACCCTTGATAACTCACTTGTAAACCCTTACTTCCTCCTACTCTTTCGTCCCTATCGCGGCATACGGCGACCACGACCTGCAAGCAAAGTCAATAGGTTATGAGCCCAATGACAGAACGCTACATGTATGAGTAACCAAACAAGCTAAAGGCCGACGGCTCTAACTACCGTGAGTGGTGTGTTAAGACGCGAACCAAGATCAACCAACAGAAGTTGGGCAAGTACCTCCAGCCGTGCTACTCGGACGGCAAGTACAAGTCGGGCCTGGAAATGGACGACGACCTGGTGGCGCTGTCCTACATCCAGCAGTCCGTTCACAACGACCATCTCAAGTACATCGAACATGTAGAGACGACGTACGACTCGTGGAACGCGCTCAAGGCCATCTACGAGAACACGTCAGAAGTCAGCCTGGTGACTCTGGAAATGAAAATGTACAAGCTCGATTGGACCGAACGCATCGGCCTCGAGTCTTTCGCCGACCAGTTCCAGGAACTCACGCGCAAGATGACCGCCGCCGGCGATGGTACCCCAGAACGGTCGCACGTCACCCGGTTCCTGTGCCTACTGCCACCGCGCTTCGCGAACACCGTAAGCTACATTACGCGCGAGAGCCGCGACACGACCATGTTCGCCACGATGCGGTCCGTCCTAGAAGAGCTAAAGTTAGACGACGAACGTCAGCAGCTCAGCAACCCAAGTCTACGCAAAAACGCCGACAGATCGGACGACGCGCTCAATGCAACGGTCAACGGCGAATGTCACTACTGCCACAAGCCCGTCCACTTCCGCAGCGAGTGCCGCCGCCGACAAAACGACGAAGCCAAAGGCGTCCAGCGCCGCAACGTGCGGGACAAGCCACAAGGCAATGGTGGCGGATGTTGCAGCTATGATGGCGGCCGGAACAGCGGACGATGACGAGGACGCAACAGCGAAAATAGTCGCGGCGGAGGCTGTCCGAACTGGCGCGGCGCCGACCATGGCAACTACGCCGAAGAAGTTGAAATGGAAGATATCTTCATGATTGAAGAAGACTTACCTGTGGCCAGCTGTCCGGATGACGAGGACACATGGTGGCAGATTGACGTAGACCCGGTCATCGAGCTCGAAACCAACAATGTCTCTACAGAGCTGTGTCAGTATGCGACGGACGAAACCTACGAGTGCAACGCCGCGACGGCGATGTACGTGCGCGAAGCCATCATCGACAGCGGCGCCACCGTGCACAAGAGATGCGCCATCGATTTGCTGCACTCCGTCGTGGTCTACGCACAGATGGCGGTGGTGAGTACGTCAGCGACAAAATGGAAGCCTACCTCAAAGAACTCTGCATCCACCACGAAGTCAGCACTCCAAGGCGCCAATGGAAGAACGGCACGGCGGAGCGGATGAACCGCACGCTGGTGGAGATGGGGCGCACGATGCGGCTCCACGCCAACGTGGCCAAGCACTGGTGGGCCAAAGCCGTAAACACGGCAGCCTTCCTGAGAAACCGCCACTACTGCGCAGTGTTCGGCTAGCGGCATGACTTCGGAGCGCGGCAAGAGCCCGTCAAGCCGCAAGATCAGCCCGGTCCGCCTGATGGGCCAACCCTTCGCGCATTACCCGCCCCAAATCACGAGACATGACACGCGTAACAGCCGCAGAGTCACCGCAGCAGGCGCCACGCTAGTGGTCGCGGCTGCGCCAACTCACGAAGAAGAACCGCGGGAATCACGTTGGGACCGATCGCACAGACCTTCGACCAAGAAGCAGTCGACGTCACCAGGTCGCACGAAACAAACGGCTATGGACGGCTTGGACGCCGCTAGACATGAAGCACGGGCCACCGCCGTCGAATCCAAGCGATCGGCGTCGAGAAACAAGATCCGCGCAAGCGCCACGACCGCACAGCCAGAGCGGAAGGCGACCGACCGCGGACAATCGCCGCACAAGACCATGCGGACGGAAGGCACACGCGGGGTGGCGCCCAAGGTGCCGTGGCAACACCCCATCGACCAGGACGACTCGTCCGACGCGGCCAATGCAGCTTACGATGTGTGCTTCAACGCCACAGACGAGGATGTGCCTGCGACTTTCCGCGAAGCCATGCAGTCAGCTGACACGGCCGGCTGGCTCGAAGCGTGCAGGAAGAGATAGGCAACCTCGAAGCAATGGAATGCTACGAACTCTCCCGGGCACCAGACGGCACGCGCACATTGAAGTCAAAGCGGGTGTTTAAGAGAAAGGACATACCAGATGGTACTCAGATCTTCAAGGCGCGCGTCGTAATCAAGGGTTTTGCGCAAAGGCATGGCATTGAATACGATGAAACATACGCGCCCGTCATCAGAGGCGACTCTCTACGGCTAATCCTAGCCATCGTCGCGCCCACAGGCATGAAGTGCCGCCAAGGCGACGCCACGAATGCATACATCCACGCCAAGAGCGACCGCGAACTTTATATGGTGCCGCCCGACGGGTAGCTAGCGGCATGGTCTAGCGTATACTCGGCGCCCTCTACGGCCTGAAGCAGAGCGCGCTGCTATGGTACCAACATTTCAAGGCCATCCTGGAAGACCTGGACTTCGCCGCCACGTCAAGCGACAGTTGCGTGTTCACGAGGCGAGTAAATGGCCGCCTCCAGATCG